TGCCTCGTGACCCATGCCTTATTATTAGCTTTCCACATCACACACAATTTACTCTTGAAGACGTTTTTCTTGAACACTCTGGGATTTTCAGAGTGATACACCAGCAAAGGCTTCACTTTGAAATCCCCACTAGCATTAGCACAGAAGAAGGGAGTTAGTCTGTCTTTCATAGCCTTGTGTCTTGGCAGTACCTTTTCCTCCTGCGTGATGTAGGTCCTCTTTGGCACTTTCTTCCAAAAGAGGACTGTTTCATCACAATTAAACACTTGGTGGAGGAATTCTTCAGCCTCTATGTACCCCTTGAATTCATGCATGAATTTTTCAGCTACACATTTGTCTGAACTTGCAGCCTCACCATACCTTACTACACTATGTATGTCACTACACATCTTGAATCTGTTGAACCAGCCTCTGCTGGCCTGAAAATCACTAATGGCAGAATTCTTTCCAGGCATTTTCTTTACGAGATCCGCATGTAACTGCCTTGCCTTTTCACAAATGATCGACTCCACAACACTACCTCCCGCTAACTGTTTTTCGTTGATCCACACCAACAACACCAACTCCATATCTTCCACTGTTTGTCATCTCTATTTTGTTAGCACATTCACCCCTTTCACAACTTTAGCTTCCTTGATTTCTACTTTCATTGCCAGGATGGAGAAGATAGTTGATTTCGACTTAAGAACATAAGAAATGAGGAACACTGCAGTGGGCCTGTTGGCCCATACTAGGCAGGACCTTTACAATACATCCCACTAGCAAAATATTTGCCCAACCCAATTTTCAATGCCACCCAAGAAATAAGCTCTGATAACTGCAAGTCCACTCAGATCCAACTCCTCTCACTCGTGTATTTATCCAACCTAAATTTGAAACTACCCAAGGTTTTAGCCTTAATAACCCAACTAGGCAGACTGTTCCACTCATCAACTACCCTGTTTCCAAACCAATACCTTTCTAAATCTAAACTTGTCTAATTTGAATCTATTACTGCAGGTTCTCTCCTGGAGAGATATCTTCAAGACCTTATTTATATCCCCTTTATTAATACCCATCTTCCACTTGTACACTTCAGTCATGTCTCCCTTCATTCTTCGTCTAACAAGTGAATGTAATTTAAGGATTTTCACTCTTTCTTCATAAGGAAGATTTCTAATGCTATGTATTAATTTAGTCATTCTATGCTGAATGTTTTCTAACGAATTCATGTCCATTCTGTAATATGGAGACCAGAACTGAGCTGCGTAATCTAGGTGAGGCCTTACTAATGATGTATAAAGCTGGAAATTTAAAAACTGCTGAATTTTCTGTTGCTTACGCTTGTTTTAAAATCCCATATTGTTTCCCTTATTCATATGCTAAGGTGTGAGACCTCTCCCACTTCCCGGAGGTATCCAGCAAGTGAGCACGTCTCCTGTTTTCCAGTGCTTAAAAAGCTAGGGAATAGATAAAGGGTTAAAAAAAAAATGGGAACTATGGCTTAGTTTTTAATGACAAAAAAGGGCTAGAATACAACATTCTGATGGAAATTTCACAATTAACAATTGACCTTGAGACTTATTACCCGGGGGGAAGGGTAGATGTTATCAGTAACAGGTAGTATCACTCTTAATTTCAGACCAGCTGACCCAAATTCCAATGCGTGGTCCACTACAACACGGCTGCCCGAGCTCTCGCTCGGGACCTGTCCCCAACCCCCCTTTCCTTCCCCGCTCTTCCTGGGCTTATATCGTAGTCAAAGTACCCCCCCCCCAATGGTGTATGTACACGTGTTGGCCCTGCCCCGGGGGCTCTGACGCTGTTAAGAACAAAAGACCTGAGTGGGGGGGGCTCAGAGTCTCCCAAAGGGCAAGGTGTGACCTTAAAAATTGGTTAAATTAGGTCTCCCCAGGCCCTCACAACCCCACTGAACTAATCACATCCCCCTTTCCCCCCCAATTTAAAATATTGAACTGGGACAATTTGTCCTATTTATTAGACTTTTTTAAATTAAATCCCCTTAAATCTTTTACATACAAAGACAAAATTATACATAATAAAAATTATATTTCCCCTCAACCTCCCAACTACCACAAGGCGAAAATCATTTCCTCTGGCAGTTGGCCAGATAATAGTCGCTCTCTGGGCAAAGCCCCCTTTACCCTTTTATTTCCCTTAAACCTAAATATCGGGCCCCAGTGCCTTCCCTATTCTACTAAAAATGCACTAGCCAATGCGTCACCCCCGACGTTACCTTGGGGAAAAACCCTCTCTAGGCTTCTAGGCGTGGAAAATGCTCAACAGGTTGCATTCTTTCAAGTAACTGAAAATGGCCCACTTCACACCCCCCAAGGTCGCTTTTCGGCACACTTACATGACACTACAACATTGAAAATCGGACGGGCGGCATCGCAGCAAAGACCCTCCATTTCCTTCCCACTACTAGGTTCCTGGCCTATAAACAAGGCGGCCCAAATCACTGGACCTTTTCAAGGTCCCTTATTCCAACAGGTAACATAACCTTCTGGCAAGTCAAAGTAGGCGGGGGACATCTCACACTCTTATTGTTCTCATGGCTGGCGGGATCCCGCATACCTGTCGCCCCAGGTCACCAAAAGGGGGAACACCCCCATGCCGCCCTCGGAAAGCAGGTGGTCCCAGCAGGGAGTCCATTCCGCGGCTCACGTCCCTTTCCCCTCTCCGAGGATGGCAACTCCTTATAGTAGTTTCTTTTCCTGGCACACCCGCCCCGAAATTTCCCCCAACACCCCGCAGCCAAAAGCCATCTCCCCCTTGAGCTAGGCAGCATCACAGCCGGCCACAGCATACCCTCATCACAGCACGGCCGTATCACCAAAACACAAAAGCACGGCCCCATCACAGCAGCACACAGCACGGCCCCAAAACATCGCAGCAGGCTAAGCATCGCAGCACGGTCCCAGCATCCGCACGGCCGCAGCATCTAAAATCACGCACGGCCGCAGCATTCAACTACAGCGCACACAGCAGCCGACATCGCAGTAGCAGGTATGGTCGTTGCTCGAGGTGAGGTGAGGTACTTCAGGTCATCAACAGAGGTGCGGTCACCCCTCCTGGCAATGCGGTAAAAGGCGGTCTGTGGGTGGGTCACAGAGGCTGGTGCGCAGACAGAACCCACACACGGATGACAGACCAGGGCAGAATAAATCTACTGAGGGAAAATTTACACAAAATTAAAAATTGACCCATGAGACCCTTTTTCCGGGGGGGGGGGGAATGTTATCAGTAAAAACGGGTAGTACTCACTCTTATTACCGACCCGCTACCCAGATTCCCAAGCGTGGTCCACTAACACGGCTGTCCCGAGCTCCACTCGACGGACCCGTCCCAAAAACCCCCTTGCCCCCGCTTTCCCGGGGTTTTATCGTAGTCAAAGTCCCCCTCCCCCAAAGGTGTATGTACACTGTTGCGACCGACGCCCACTCTGACGGTTTAAGAACAAAAGACCTCAGACGTGGGCGTGGCTACAGCGTTGCCAGGCAAGGGGACCCTATATTGGTTAAAATTTGGTCTCTCCAGAACCTCACAAGCCCCGCTGAATACATCACATTTGGCATTGCTGTCTTTGGTTTTAAAGGGTTTTGTTATAACCCCCCAAATCTTTTTTTGCAAACTGTTGACTAAGTTTACTTATTTAATTAAAGTGTAGGGTTTTAGACACTTCCCGGGTTTAGAACTTTGAAAATGTATTTCCACTTTTCTGACCAGGTAATGACTTATTAAATCCCCCTGAAGTTTTCCCCGATATCCTGTTTTTATTAAAAAATCCCCCTATCTTTGAGTCATCGGCAAATTTCTCATTTCACTAGTAATTCCCTATCGATCATTGATATACATGTAACCTCCCCCGACTTACGACCCTGCTGACTTAGGACCACTCACTTCGACCGTGTTTTTTATGCCAAATTTCTGGGAAATAAACAAAAATATTTTTGTTGTACACAGTGTTTTCCTAAACCTTCAGATAAAAACAGTTAACAGCATAAAAAGTAAAGAAAACATGAAATACCAAAATAAAACAAAATAAAGTCATTACAAAAATGTTTGTTGATATCCAGTAGTAAAGTTCGACTTACGACCATTTCGACTTACGACCGGTTTCTCGGAACCGAACTCGGTTGTAAGTCAGATGGTAGGTGTATATTATAAACAACAACAGGCCCAAGACTGATCCCTGTGGAACGCCACTTGTTACAGATCCCCACCCGGATTTAACCCCATTTATGCACACACACACACACACACTGCTTCCTGTCTGTGAGCCATGTCTCGATCCATGAGAGCACTTTTCCCCCAATGCCATGAGCTGCCACTTTCTTTAACAGTCTTTGGTGTGGTACTCTATCATAAGCTTTACTAAAATCTAAGCAAATAATATCAAATTCTTTATTGTGATCAACAGCCGCTAAAGCTTTACTGAAGAGAGTTAATAAATTACGTAGTTAGACAAGAACGGCCTCTCATGAATCCATGCTGAGTATCATTAATCAGATTATTCTTATCCAGATGGCTTCTTATAATAATTTGTGAAGGCTCTGTATAGTATGGGCCAACAGGCCTGCTGCAGTCTTCCTCCTTTCTTATGTTCTTATGTTACAGGAATAAAAACTATTGAGAAACTTAAAGACATGTAAGATTTACCTGCTGTTATATGTGTTTAAAAAGACATGGAAAGACTATCTATCCTACCATTGTAAAACAATTTTTTTAACATGCTCCCATTTCACACTTGCCATATATTCAAGGACAATAATGCCTTTCTGGATGGTTGATGGTTTCCCAACCTGCTAACAAGCAGGAGTATGACAGATGAAGTATTGATAGTTTAAAAAAATAATATTTAGAAAATGGTTCAATATTGTATGAATTTGGAAACGTAGGGAGAAATAAAGGAATAGTGCCAAGTGGAAGTTACGAAACAACTTTTTTTTAAACAGATACAATTTCAATTACAGTGCTAATACCTTTACTCGTTTCAGAAGTAGCAAAATAGCAGTGGTTACTATGGACGTATCAGCGATGAGTGAACAGATCCAGGCAGAAGTACAAGTTAAACAGTTTCGAGATTTCCTTGTACAATACAACAAGCTTAGTGAAAACTGTTTTAATGATTGTGTTTGGGACTTCACATCTCGAAATGTTCGAAATAGTGAGGAAAATTGTGTTCAAAATTGTGTTGAAAAATATACGAAGGTTAGTTGTTTGGCTTATGAATGTACATGTACTCCTTATGATTTATTTTAATTATTATTTACTTCAAGACTGTTGAAAAGACAATCGTTACTGATTGTCATCAGTATGTTGATTTGGCCTTTTATTTTTAAAACAAAGTAAATATTGACTTTTTTTGTTTTAAATGTGTATACAGCCTCTCCTCGCTTACCGATGGAGTTCCATTCCTAAGGCCACATCAGTAAACGAATTTGTAGCTAATCAAGGAACCACCCCTTACTGATACGTACTTCATAAATGTCACCACCCAAAATTAAAACATTCAGTTTTATATTTACTGTGAAAATCCTTTCAATCCATTCATTATTAACAGTAATACAACATGAAATAGGTCAGTAACTTATTTCCAACATATTCCAGGAAACGCTCGCATAGCTGATTACTTGGGTTTTTTTTTAGAAAATCGCACTTTTTTCAGTCTTTGCATAGGATAAGAGTGATGCATAATGTTTTCTGTAATGGTGACTGTCACTTTTTTCTTAATCCCTCCCTGCTCTCCCTCGCTGCCCATCCTTCGGTACCTCTCCACGTAATGTCAGTTTTTACTAATTTGGGCATCTTTATCATGCTTCTACATTATTTATGTTTTACCTAATACAGTGGAACCTCAAAAATCGAACTTAATCCGTTCCAGGAGCTAGTTCTAAATTTGAAAAGTCTGAAATTCGAAGCAATATTTCCCATAAGAAATAATGGAAATACAATTAATCCGTTCCAGAAACCCAAAAATATTCACACAAAAAATACATTTTATAGAGATTAATTACAGTTTTACATACAACAAATACTATAGTTTTTAATTATGTACAGTAATACATATAAAATAACATTTTTACTTACCTTTATTGAAGATTGGTGATGGCATCTGGAAGATAGGGAGGAGGAGAGAGGGAGTTGGGGTTAGTGTTTGGAAGGAGAATTCACCTCCATGAGGACTTCAGGTAAAGCCCTCTCTGGGTTTACTTCCCTTCTCTGTCTTTTAATGCCACTAGGACCAGCTTGAGAGTCACTGGACCCCTGTCTCACAAAATAACTGTCCACAGTCCTCTGTTTCTGGTGCCTCTTTAACATTTCCCTAAAATGGGACATGGTTCTGTCACTGAACTTGTTGCAAAGATGGCTTGTTTCCTTGCTCAGGGTGGTACTTCTGCACAAACATTTGGACATCATTCCACTTGGCACAAATCTCCTTAAGCTTTGAAGAAGGCACCTCATCCACTCTCTATATTAACACCTTTCGCAACATCAGCTTCCTTGATTTGTTCTTTCTTTGACAGGATAGAACCGATGGTCGACTTATTTTTCCCATACATCCTGGCAAGCTCAACAAGTCTCGCACCACTCTCATACTTCTGTATTATTTCCTTCTTCACATCTATGGTGTTTCTCACTTTCTTTACCACAGGGGTACCACTAGCAAGTTTCTTTGGGCCCATGGCAGCTTATTTCACAGTCCCACAAGCACTAAACACAACAAAATAATCGTAAAATGCGTGAATGAGAGCGCAGGTTAGTGTTCACTCAAGCATAAACAAAGCTAGACTGCTCACGGTGCCTGCGCGGGGACGCGGACAGAGCGGGCTGGCAGACAGGTCCCATACCCGGCGGTCCGAAAATAGGGCGCGTTCAATAATAGGGACACAGTTTGTCCGAAAAAATGGTCCTACTTTCGAAGCGTTCGATATGTGATACGTTCAGTTTTTGAGGTTCCACTGTATTATTCTGGAATAAATTTGATAGATAACTTTTATTGATAGTAATAGTATAATTATACCATATTTTATAGTGGGGTGAGGCACACCTCTGTGCATCATGGTGAATCATTAGTTTCTGAGACACTGCTTGCTACTCCCTCTGCTATAGCTAGCTCTGCTCACTTTGTAATGATGCCAAATGTTGAATTAAATATGTACATTAGAAAGAAAAAATAAAAAGGAAATTCCAACTTGATAACTTTGTTTTAATTTGCATAACTCTTACATATTACAAAAAACAATAAAAAAGTAAAATACACATACAATACACTCATTACTTACCTTAAAATAAGTATTTGAAGGGGTGGGGTGACTTTTTTTTAAAGGGGAAGGATGATAAAATGAATTTACATAAATTACTTGGTTTCTTGTTGTTTAACATTTTGATCCCGGGTTTTAAAAAAAATTTTTTAAACCGGGGACAACAAAATGGTAATTTAAAATAAATTCCCTTTTTCTTTAAAATTCACATTTTCTGGTTTTCTCTTAAAGCCCTCGGCTTTATTTTTTTTTTTTACATTAATTAAATTTCGAAAAAAAAAAGTTTTGGGGGGGGTAAAAGGAAAAATTTTGTTTAATTTTTTTTTTTATTTTTTTTTTTTTTTTAAGGGGTTGTTTATTGTGTGTGAAAGGGTAGGGTTGGTGAGAGGGGGGGGGGGAAAAATAAGGGGAAAATGGAAGAAAAAAAAATTTTTGGGTGAGGGTTATTGGGGTTTGGGGTTTTTTTGTTTGTTTTTGTTTTTTGGTGAAAAAGGTGTGAGGGTTTAATGAAATTTAAAAATTTTGTTGGAGGTTTTTGTTTGTGTTGGGTTTTTTTATTTTTTTATTTTTAAAAGATTTTTTGATTTTTTAGGAAAATTTTTCTTTTGGTAAATTAAAAAAAAAAAACCCCCTTTAAAAATGCTTCTTTTGTATTTTTCCTTTTCCTTTTGTTTTCCTCTTCCAGCTGCTGCTGCATTCTACTCTTCTTGTACTATGGGTACACAATAAAGTATAAATTGTAAAATAGAATCTTGGAAATGAAAGTAGTGTACGAGGGGCTGTAGGAAGGAAATCGAGATGTTTGACGTGAGATGCCACGTCCCCAATTTCCCGACCCAAGTTTCGTATGCTACAATACAGCTCGTGGGAGAAGTCATAACTTGATTTTTTGGTAACAGTACGTCGGTAAGTGAGAAGGGGTGTATACTGAAATAAGGGTATAAAGGAATTTTTTGCGGTGATTGACTTTGAAAGCATTTTTCTGGGGTTATTTTTGTTGATGGTGTGGGATGATAACATGCTCAGTTTTTTACCTTTATACGTACTTAACAGGCTTTAAAATTATTACTACTTGTTGATTTTGAGAGATTTTTCTATTCCAGTGCTTGTCTGGAAAACCGGGCTGTTGCTCCCAGGGCCTGCTGGCCCACATATTCACAGCTGGTTGATCTAGCACCTGGGAATCTTTTTTAAATTTCCCTCTTAAAGACCTTCTCTTTTGTCCTACAGTGTTTCTGATATTTTTTCTGTAAGCCTGAGGCATGGATGTTGAAAATTTATTCTCTTATTGTTCCACGCACCCCTGCTTTTCACGGGGTTTTTTTGCACTTCCTTTCCCATTCTCTCACTCCAATACATTGAGGGCATGTGCAAATTTGGGACAAGGCCCCCAAGTATTTACGGGCAAATATCATGTATCTCTCCCCTCTCTCTTTTGAGAATTTTTGGGACAAAGGCTTTCCCCAATAATTTAAATGCTTTATTGGGTTTATTTTATTATTATTATTATCACACTGGCCGTTCCCCACCAAGGCGGGTGGCCCAAAAAAAAGAAAAAATTTTCCCAAAATTTTCACTCCATCCTGTCGGGCCAGAAGGGTGCTTTCACTACTTTTTTTAAACTGAACTTTAAAACCCCCCTCCTTAAGGTGCAGGCACTGTACTTCCCATCCCCGGACCAAAGTCCGGCCTGCCGGGTTCCCCCTGAACCCCTTCATAAATTTTACTTTGTCACACCCCAACAGCACGCAATTTTAAAAACCCATTTGTCCCATTCACTTTTGGGGTTTATAGGGCCCATAAAATGATCCTATCTGTTCATGCTTGAATGGGGCCATAAATATAACAATATTCTAATGAGAGAATGCAAACATTTTAAATTTTTCACCATTTGACCTATTTCCCTTGTTTTAAAAGTCGTTACCCATCCCAACTTTCTGGCTGTTGTACTTTTGCCTTATTTGGTATTTTGAAAGAAAGGTCAGCTGACTTAATATCCCAGGTCTTTTATGTTCCTTTTTGTTCTATTTGATGATCCTTTTATTTTAAATACAGTGTCCTCTTTGAGTTCGTTCTTTCTGTATCAAAAAAAAGCTGGAATTTAACACCCATGAATATCAGTTCCCAGTGCCCTCTGAAAACCCTGCTTATACTCCTGCTGTTTCAGGGGCTCCGGATGATTTTTCAATACTTATTTTAGAAATTTTAAGAGATAAAAATGTGATGGTTTTTTTGTCTGTCTGCTATGAGGGGAGAGACACTAAACCAAAGGGCCCCCATACACACCGGGGAAAATTTTTAAAGGAAATCGGGTTTTGACCCAAAAAGGGTCTCAGCCCCCCCCTCATCCCAGCCTCCCCCCCCCATTTCCCTCTTTCTCCCCCTTTTTTTTTCCTACTCTCCACCCTTGCCCACCCATATCCAGGGGCTCACCCACTTTCATTACAAGAATCACACAACTACCATCACCAATGAAATTTCCCGGGCCCTTAAATTAAGGGCTTAAAACCAATTTTATTCACAAAAATTAAAAATAAAAAATTATTTAAAATGATTTAGGGAAACTTGAAAATCATTTGTTGCAATTTTGATAAAAATTTACTGTTAAATCAAGCAAGTGTCCTTTTTTTTTTGTACCTTTTCTTATTTTCTTTTTTTTTTTATTAAACTTTGAACATTTCCCCAAAGGCAGGTGACCTAAAAAAAACAAGAAAACTTTCAATCTTACTCCATCCTGTCTTGGCAGAGGCACCTACACTACATTTAAAAAAAACTACACATATAAAACCCCCCCTTTCCTTCGGCACAGGCATGTACTTCCCACCTCCAGGATCGAGCAGTCTTGCCTTTTCCCCCTGGACCCCTTCATAAATATTCCCTTGCTTACACTCCACAGCAATAAAAAAACCCATTTTTCCCCACTCGTTCCTATCTAACAAACTCACG